CGAAAAGTTTATAACCTATTAACAAATCGCTCAACTTCACGTTTTTGCCAAAAAGTTCAGAACTTCTGGATGGTACAGAACGCGTGACAAAAGGTGTAGCAACGACTAGTCATCGAGCAAATCACTGATGGTGAATGATACTATATATTTTTTAAATAAGCAAAACTATAATTAGAATTAATTTTCAGTCACACTCTGTCTGTCTGATTAATCAGCAGCTTACCGCTCTGTTGCTCAACTTTACGTTCTGTCCTATTGCGATTGCAATAGGCGTGAGTCATAGGATCGGAGGCCAAACTGTCATGCTCACGCACAGCTCGTTTCAAGCGGCAATCAAGCAGTGGGGAGTTTAGTGTTGTCTTAAATCGATGGTGCAATCTCTAGCGTTTGACGAAAACATGTTTGTTTTATTAAGGCCACTAGCTGCATGATTTTAGCTCGAATTCGAAATGTTATTTTCAAACGTCTTTAATGCTCTGACATGGATAAAGTCAACATAGTTGTGCTTCGTCCTCGAAAAGTTTGTGACCATGGGAGTGGCAGTTGGACTGAATATGTCCAGTATGACCAAACCATGTTTAGGGACAGTATCCAAAATCGGACGCGCATAGACTGCCTGAACTGCGAATAGCAACCTGATTACTTACGGAGTTTCCGGAATACGCCGTCGGAGGCTGATCAGACATATACCTCAGCGGTAGTCCCTGCCATTGCACGGAGAACGCCAGTGCTAAAAGTGCCGTTTTAGAACCTCTGCCATGAATCGACTAAGGCTTCAATTGATCATACCCGCCGTTCGCAAATGTACGAGCGCACAGAACAAGCAGGTCGTGTAGAGAAAGTCATACATCGAAGCGACGGAGCACGAAGCTGTTTTGTGAGGCAGCATTCGTGCAGTCTTACCGTGAGTATAGCAAGAAGGCAGATTTACATACCTTTTAACTAAAGCAGATCTTGCTAGCGAAACAGGTTCTTGATTGACACAAAGCCGGCGTTCAGTTGGATGCAAGAAAAACGTGTCCAACGCAGACCGTTGATTTGGCTACGATGGACGATGTGTCCAGCGTTGTCCATTGGCGGTGACCGAAGGCACAGTCGCTGCCAAAGTGAAACCGATGGTGCGAGCTGACCAAGCCAAGCGACATTGTTCTTACGGAAGCTTATGCGGTTGGCCGATGGGAGGCTCGACGGACGGGTGGTAGACATGGACAGTGCAAGACAGATCGTTGCAATGAATTTGTTGATCCTTGTCGCACTCTTCGCTGCGTGATTTTCGTGACTTCGTTGTTTACACTTCACAGGCAAAACTTTTACATCCATGCACCGATATTAGCGGCTAATCAAACGCTGGTAGGCGGTTTGTTTTGCGCCTGAGTGAACTCACATTTTCTAATCCACGCAAGAAGCTTTTCAGGTTCATCATTAAACTTTCGGCATTGCCGCTCATTGTATTGAGTCACAGAAAGCTGTCTCGCCTGTTTGCTAGAGCTACCTTACACTATGAGCAAATGGGTAGTGCCTTACGCCATGTTCAGGTTTTGAACCAGGTAGACATTATTTGACATTCTCCGGCATGCGAACATACTTTGATATTTATACCGTGCTATATATTAAGTACCAGCTCCTGAAACATAATTTGAATGAGTGACGAGGTGACGCTGCGGACAGAATGATGCGATACGCGTCTGACACTGCAAGTGCTCGATGTCATTCAGCCGTAATTTGTCTAAATGGCCTCCTAAGCAGCTAGAAGGTAGAGTGCTATGAAATCGCCATGAAATTTGTTCTTGGACGAATTATGCGTTGGACAGAAATCTTTCTTTGACTTTTAAATCAGTATTTCGTATACGATTCGCGGCTCAAGATTCATTAAAGTACATATGAGCAGCGAGAGGCGCTGCACAAGAGAGAAAATGTTCCAAGAAAGAAAAGTGTTAGCCACCCGGATCAGCGTGTGAGTCATACACTTGGTATCGTCAGTAAGCATTCTGGTAATGTTAAAGTCCTAACATCCGAACAGGATTTCACGTAAAATTTGATAGAAATTCAATTTATCGATCACACTATCGATGATGTTACATTGAGAAAGTTTTGGTACATTTTCGTTGTTATAGTCCAGGACTGTGGCTTCCATGTTCTTGACAATCATCTTGTCGTATGTATGCTTCTGTCATGGATATTCAGCATCGCCGCAGCGTATTAGAAGCAAAAAAACGTGGTCCTGATGAGTAACGAAGAGCTGCTCATCATTCACTGACTCTCTTAACGTCCAAAGCAGTAGTTTCAACTGGCCTTGAGCACAAAGATGCAATTGGGCTGCCTGGCGACCCCACTTGCGCAGTTAATATATAGATCTCTTCAAGGAAGGTTTGTGTAAAATATCTGATCGAATAGACTTGTCATGAAGGACAAAGGTTTTGACCATAGAAACCGGAAGGTCGGACAGGAACTCACTGCTGAAAAAAGTTCTACCATGATAGTGGATTAGATAGGTTCTTAATAAAAGCGACGGATGTGATTCACAAGCGAAGCGGTACACTGGTTAAGCGAATCTCAGAAATCTCTATGACATGTGGAAGATTGAAAGATAAAAACTGGAGCGAGCATTACTATCTTGAAGACAACCGTATTCGCTCTTCTGATATACAACCGTGGCTCATCTCCTACTCAGGAATGAGCCATTTCCAACAAATATGTTGACGAATATTTTCAGGTAGCATAGTCGGACCTCAAGCAAAGACGGATTGAGAACCGTTAATAATTTATTCTGAAAGAGTTATTCCAAAAATTCGAAGAACTCTGCATGTCTAATTTACCGTAACGGTGTGGAAAAGTTAAAAATATCAATCAGAGACCTCATGTTGGAGACATTCATTAGCGGTTAACGTTTACAAATCGCTGAAACAAGTAGTAGAAGCAGACATGCCCTTTGGTAACAATGGTCTCTGTCACCATGGCCAACGACGCCTAAAATCTGAATCTAAGGTACCTTTGTCATAACGCTGGCATTTTGGCAAGTCCTACTGTTTTGGATTTGCTTAGCTTGACATGATGATGATAACAATAAAATCGCTTACTCCGTGGCGATACAATTAATGCAGAAATACGGAACGGTGAAACTCGAGCAATTCAAGTCTCGAATAACGCCGTAGCCGCATTGATAACCGTTCTTGAGAATATACTGTAATTCTGTCCAGGAACATAAATATTGGAAAAAGACGCAGGCGGAAGTACGCAGCAACGAATTGATAAGCTACCACATTGAGTTGCTTATCGACTTCAGCAAATAAAGGCTTTAGATATGAATGTGGGTGATGAGGTCGGCTTCTTTATGTCATTCCTAATTTCCAAATGCGAAGAGTTCACTTTAGCGTGCTTCGCTGTAGCTTATTTAGAGACGGAGAGGTCCATAATTATTATGATATAGTAAAATTATGGATTTTACTGCATGCATTGGGCAAATGTTTATCCGTAATTACGGATTTCATTGCAAATGTCTGTCTGATGTGCTACCAAAGAGCGGGAAATTTGGACAGTTAAGTTTATTTCACAAACGTTTTCATAATGCAGTTTTATAGTGTGACAGTGCTGCAACGTGTGAGCTCATTCATGCTGTTAAAGGCATACACTTGAATTGCTTTAATGCGCATTGATCAAGCTGACAACTAGACCCCATGTTCACGTCAGGACATTATGAAATCCACAGAGACGGAAGAGGGGATGGCGCCCCCTTTGGAACATGCTGAAAGTAAACCGGCTTAGAATGTTGGGTTTAATGGAAGGAAAAGTCAGAGTCGAATCGAATAAGAATAACAAGAAAAGAGGCGAATCAGAAATATATACTTAGCCTACCTGCGGGCTATACCTAGTAAGTTCGGTGTCAGACATCTTATGTTTTTCCCTGATTCTCGTGCAGTGAAAACACTTTCATGTAAACACTGGACTCTTTCATGTCGTAGTTCACCACCTCTGGAAGGCCTTTCAGTTTCTTTTATATTTTACTCATCGCGCTATGCGGGTGAGCTTGTATTTTACTCGTACGTCGTAGTTGTCTCGGTCAGCTATTTTTTCAAATGCATCACATCAAACCCATTACTGTCTATGTTATAGTTTTTATGTTTTAACTAGAGCTATTGCTGTAATACAAAAAACTCATTGCTTCAGCTTTATATATTCTCGTTTAGTCACGAAAATCAATCGTTCAACTCGTAATGTATATAATTCCAGCAAGAATATGCCCTGCGACACTCACTTAACAGAAATCCTCCTATCGTAGATAATTTACACATCTACCTCAATTTGAGCCATTTTGCGCAGATCACTGTAATGATCTTCTGTTTTCACTTTGCTGTCCATTCCTGTTATCGAGCATAACCACGTAAACTATCTCATGTTCACACTGCATATGAATATTTGCATCGAAACCATGTCCACGGTGTAGAGAAATAGACCACAGATAAAAGCCATGCATTGTTACAAAATTTTATCTACCGTGTACCACACTACTATAGATGAAGTCAGTTAATTATGAAATGAGTCATTGCATACTGTATTGATAAAAATAAGCGGATAGCATTAGCCTGGCAGGTCCTGATATGCGAACAGTAACGCATTATATTGTTCAATTTGTTCGCAGGTTATTTACTTTCAGCCTGAGCATAGCGAATGAATTCCATGGACAAGGAAATGAACACTTCAGAATGGAAATTTACGCTCACCTTGGTTCGAGTTCGGCATCTTTATCAAAATGTTTAACTGCGTGACCGTTTCTAAATTTTAGCAGCGAAAATTAAATTCTGCAAATCCGCTTTCAAAATGTTTGTGAATGAAGTTGAATACGACCACAACAGTTGACATGACAAAGCTGATTGACCATATGCCCGGTTTTTACGTTCGTCATTGCTAGTTGATGAGAAAACATCATCCTCTGGAACCGGTTGCGGAAACATTTTACAATCATTTCTTCCTGAAAACTCCACCGTTGCTGTTCCTATCCCCCTCCGGTGAGAAACGAGCTTTGGGAACTGCGGCGAGGTCTACTGTACAGCTTAGCCATCTGTCCCTCATGATATTGCCCTTACTAAGCGTAATATCGCCTCGATCGTCGCTCGAGTTACCGAAGGTTGCGCAGGCTGTTGCGGAACTGAGGCTCACTACGAATAGTTCGCGATCAGAACGTTCTTCTCGTCTTCTGGCAGCTGGGAATGTAGCAGAACAGCGACGGCTGGCGAATAAGTAAAAGCGACGAAAATACCAATCAGCAGCGGAACCGCTACCCATTCTCAACTGAAGTAGCAGACTGCTGCGCGATGCCATTTTAGCACGTCACATATCTTTTAACGAAAACGATTCATCGATTGGGAGCTTATTGTCAGAAATGGAACATCTCCTCACTCAGAGGGAAAAACCACAGCTAATTGATGAGATCACAGCGTATCAACTGGTAATATTTGGACTCTCGTCGACAACGCGCCAGAGCCCTGGAGTTCATGACCCCTTTGGGTGAAGGTATTCTTCTCTCGGCACCCGCTCACGCCGTGCTCTGGTAGAACCCAACCTGGTTTACAGAATTATTGAATGGAATCCTATCAGCGGAAGAGTGACATTTTTCCGGCTGAAGTTACATCAGGCTAAAAAATTGATTTCGCTGAAGGGTGAAGCGCCCAGCTTAGAGAGGGAACGTGAGTCATTTCTGGAGGAAGAGAAACGACTCGGTACGATGTGCAGACTACGGAATCCATCGTTCAAATGGGCTATTTCCATGCGCATGTCGTAACAGACACTGGAAGGTAAAAAGGCGAGATCCGAAAGAACGACCCTAGCGATTTCAGCAAAAACGGCAAGACTCTCTCTCGATTTTGTGCAAACAACGCACTGTTTGACATAAACATCTTTTCGAGCATGGAAGTATATAACAGCATGCCTGAGATACGGAAGCTTGTACAGAAGTTGAGGACTGATTTAGTAGTCGTATCGTCTGTTCTCGTTAAGAGAAGCGCAGAGCTGTCAACCTATCATCACCTTGTTGTTGGCACATTCCGGTCTAAACGATGGACCACGTAAATACGTGGCGGCAGAAGCAACCAGAGAATCAATGGAAACATTATTTTCGGGGATACGAGGGAGACACTTGCAAACAACATTGCACGACGGTTTTAACACACCCCAGTGATGACCACTGATGTGCAAAACGAGTGGAAGTTCCTTAAGAGCGGTTTTCTCTGGGCTGCCGCTGAATGCTGCGGTTTGAAGCGGGTAGGCTTATCGTCTAAAATTCAGAAAGGAACCTCCTGGTGTACATGAGAAATACAATTGGCTGT